GAAGGGGTTGGAGGGGTGGGAACGGGGGGCTCATTCAGGGCGGTAAGGGCAGAGATTAGGGACAGCAAATCAGCCGAGAGGGGAGGAGGCAACGAGGTAGAGGGGACCGGGATATCGGGAGGAGGAGGTAACACTGGAGAAGGGGTTGGAGGGGTGGTAACGGGGGGCTGGGTCAGGGCGGTAAGGGCAGAGATTAGGGACGGCAAATCAGTCGGGAGGGGAGGGGACAACGAGGTAGAAGAGAGGTCCGGAGGCATAAGGGAAGCGGGATCAGCGGGAGGACAAGGGTCTGGAGGATCTGGGGCGGTGGGGTGAGTAAGGGTCGAGAGGGCAGAGAGCGGGGCAGCGGGTGGAGACAGGTGAGTGGGTAACACTGGGGAGGGGTCAGTCGAGGTGGAGAGGGGACGAGAGGCAAGCATAGGTAAAGGTGGCGGGGGACAGGGAGGCGGAGGAATGTCATTTAACGTAAAGGATGTTACTGTAAACATACGATTTTTAACTAGCAAGATTCTATTAAGTAAAGATACAATGTTTAAAATAACTTGCATTATTTTGCAATATCCCTTGTTGCAAGACACAGGCATTAATGAATAATCATCAGGATAATTAGCTGTAATGCTCTTATATTCGTGCCCTACAGAACCCATTTGTAGGTCACACCACAGGTGCAAATGACTCTTTAGCAACCTCTTTCTTTTTTTTTTTTTTTTTAAATATCACGGACACATCTCTGATACAGGGAAACAAATGGCATGATTGTTTTAGTTAATATAACGTTTCAGTTCATAATATGTAGAGTGTAATGTCTCTAAATAGGACGAGCATGATAGGGGTAGGCCTCATGATGGAGGCAGCCATGACAGGGGCGGGGAAGGAAATGACAGCAAGGGAGGAAGTGAGGTGACGTCCATGATAGGTGTGGGAAAGGAAGACAGGAGGTGTGGGCATGGTAAGGGCGGAAGTGACGTCACTTTAGAAGCAACCGTGACTGTAGATAGGTCACGGGACTGGCAGGGTCAACCTCCTTCTGTACTAGGCGCCATCTTTAGGGTGGTGGCTGACGTACTTTCAACAATACACCATATTATAACTAATAAAATAAGTCAGAGAAGCAACATTCCGTTCTGCAAAATGAAATATTAAACTATGAACAGACCTGGCAGGTTAAATAAGACAGTTGAGAACATTATGCATTTAACAGCCCATAAAGCTATCCATTGAAAAAATGTACTTTAACATGAAGCAAGATAAACTCACGGAATTCAACCAATTTCCCTTAACATCCTCTAACCATTAATCACTTTCCTCCTCTTATACAGACATAACAACATCGCATATTCCCCTTAACAAGCTACAAGCTACACCTTCCTAAATCCCGTATTCAACACTGAATGCAATCTTGTGAGCTCGTCACTCCCACAATCCTCAGTACCTTATCTCAAAAATTAATTTAAAAATATATATATAGCACTACGGAATCTGTTGGCGCCATGCAAATGGCAACAATAATAATAATATTACACAATTATAGCTCCATAACCTGCCTGACAACGTCTATGTATGGAACAATGTACACAATACTACACAATTAGAATATTTTCTCTCTAACTCTTATCAGTAGCTCCGAAATGCAGAAATGTAGGCAAGCGGGGAGTAGGGGTGGGAGAAAGTGTGACAGTGCAAAAAGGGGAGAGAGAGAAACTGCAGGCATGAAGATTAACCATGTGAGCTCCGTAAAGTAACAAGACAGAAGGACAGAGATTTATACGTTTGTCTTTGCTAACTTTTTCATTTTCAGCATAGCTTCTTCCCCTGCCCTCTCTTTAACAATATCACAAGCCAAATACCCCTTAGCTGGTCTAGTATGTGCTTGCCCCTTTTTGACCAAGCGAGGTCTGCCAAGTAAAGGAGACCAAGTGAGAGGGAAGAAGAAGTAGGAAAGTCTACAGTGCTCGACTGACTAGTCACGATGGTCTGTGCACCAGGGGGAGGTGGCCACAGACCGGAGGGGGCGAGCGTGGGTGACTAACACAGCTCTGGGCAACAAACACAGGAGAGATAAAGGACAAATGAAAAGATGAAAGTGGTTACACTAACAAGAAGACATTTGCAAAAATCACAAACATAGAGATGAGTGTAAACCCCAGAATCCAGAACTAGCCACACTATATACATACACACACACACACACACACACACACACCAAGGGTACCCACACTGTAACAACAATTAAACAAAAAACCACAGAATGACAGAGAGTAAAATGGCCATGTACATGTTAACACCACTAGTACCAAATATTTAAAATGTAGCAATCAAACAAAATCCCAGCCCCACCGGCTGTAATGCGTTCCCTGCCCGCTAGGCAGTCAAGCTAACATATAAAACCCAGCCCCACCGGCTGTAATGCGTTCCCTGCCCGCTAGGCAGTCAAGCTAACATATAAAACCCAGCCCCACCGGCTGTAATGCGTTCCCTGCCCGCTAGGCAGTCAAGCTAACATATAAAACCCAGCCCCACCGGCTGTAATGCGTTCCCTGCCCGCTAGGCAGTCAAGCAAACATATAAAATGCGTTCCCTGCCCGCTAGGCAGTCAAGCAAACATATAAAATGCGTTCCCTGCCCGCTAGGCAGTCAAGCAAACATATAAAATGCGTTCCCTGCCCGCTAGGCAGTCAAGCAAACATATAAAATGCGTTCCCTGCCCGCTAGGCAGTCAAGCAAACATATAAAATGCGTTCCCTGCCCGCTAGGCAGTCAAGCAAACATATAAAATGCGTTCCCTGCCCGCTAGGCAGTCAAGCAAACATATAAAATGCGTTCCCTGCCCGCTAGGCAGTCAAGCTATTGTCTTTTAAAAAGGGGGAAAACACACACTCCGGCCGTCACACACATTCAAACAAATACAGGAGGCAGATAGACAATCGACAGGTTCACTTTAAAAAGGTACCCCGGATGAGCTAAATACCTGTCTCTAGTAGCCTTCTGGAAGCCGGAAGTGGACTCGGAGACAGACCGACACAAAACAGGAGAATAACACAGGCAACGGCTGTATTATGGAGGTGATCAGGCTCCGCTTGTCCCATTTTCTGGGGGTCCGCTCTGGTCCTTGGTATCCGGCCCTCCGAACCGGCAAATCCGGGGGCCCCACGTTGGGCGCCAATTGAAATGGAAAAATCAATTAAAGTATTGATTATTTCTTTGTGTATCTGCCCCTGGCCAAATCAATGAAACAATGCGTGCACGCTCCCTGAAGTAATTCACACCAGACACAGGTTCTAGGTTGTTGAATAACTTGAGGAAAGTTTATTCAGAGGGGACGGCAGGTCCCTTTTAAAGCAAAATTACATCATAAGCATTGTCAGAGATAACATGGAATAATACATCAATAATTGGTTAAGTGTTAAGTGTTTTATTCAAAGCACGTCCTACAGGGTGTGCCTTCTTATGTCATTACTGTCGTCATGGAGTTCTCCCCCAGGATTCCAGTGCCATCTTGAAAATTAGAGTGTTTGGTCGATGGGTGGGGTACTCCTGAGTGACATCTAGTGGTCAGTTTAGTAATTTATTGAATAATATTAAGTATAACTAAATGAAGTAAATAGACATTTTACTAGCTAAAAATATGTCAATATTTCATGTCACCAGGTCCATGAGGGTCTCCCACGGTTTCCCGGCACCATCTTGCTGCACGAGGTAGTTAGTCGGTGTTTAAAGGGGCAGGGGGAGGAAGGGGTTAGAAGCTTCTAGCAGCCATTTTGATTAAACATGTGTGCTTAACTCTATAGCATAGTGTGAGATGAGTAAATAGACATTTTCCTTTAACTAGGAAATATGTGTAGACCTTATTTCCACAACAGTTTATTTTAAAGGAACACTTCAGACTGGAAGCGACCCCATTTAACAATGCTTCACAAAGTAAAATAAATAAACTCAAATAAAACAAAAATAAAAAGATACTGTTTAAAAAAAAATATTGTAGGTTGAGTTTCCAACATTTGCAATGAGGTCATCTCAACAGGAGGCTGTTCTTCTGTTCATTGGAGTTTGAATTTGACCCATGAATTCATACACAAGTGTTTGTGGAATATATATTTCAGCACATGGTAGAAATCCAGACATCACATAGAATTAACAGAATTGTGAAACTTATTGCAGCTTCTATATGCACATACTATCCGGAAAGTACTCCCATCAGGGTGCTCCAGACAGGCAGGGCCACAAACCCAGGAAAGATTCAATAGAACAATGTAGATTAGGGCACGCCTGGTGGTTTCTTAAGTAGGCAGCTTTATGTGAGACCGGCATTGCATAAAATAGTTTCTAGGCCTACCGGTCTTTCATAAAACCACATTGATTCCTGCTAATTATATTTTTGTTTACAATGAATTCTATGTTGAATATTGAAGCCATAGCGTTTTATTCCCTACAAGAAAAATTATTTAGAATTTCTGCCTTGTCCCGATCCTTCTTGATTAACTCATCTCGCTTTCCAACGGATCAACATTTCTACTCTTAATCTTCTTAGGGTTGTGTAACAGACCCTCCTGTACCCCGAATGGGTACCTCCACCAGGCATAGCTTCTTCTCGACATCAACTCGATCCAAAGTCTCCCACCAGGATCCAAATGCAGTGATTATAGCTTTTATGCAGTGCAGATATAATGCATAATTATACTATATTATCTATTAAAAAGTTTAAATTCTATTTTAGACAGTCCCTTTGAAATTTAAAACTCCGTTCAAATTAAATTTACACTTTAGTGAAAAACCCTAATTGATAGGAGTAGTGGATTAAGGAGCCACATAGCATTCAACAAACCTCCACCGATACCTATATCCAGACCCAGATATCAGCCCAAAGCTTGATGCAGAGAAATGCAGTTCCCACGAAGAACCAGTCAAGATGTGGTTAAGGGTGAAAGTAAGACTGACTTTATTGTGGAAACACACATGTAGTAATACCAGAAAACATACTTGGCAAACAATAGTGAGTCATAGAATACATTATGTACATACAATGTGCTATTCACCTAAGAAAGGAAACAACATCTTCCAAAAGTACCATACAATAACTAAAACAAACACTGCACAAGATACAATGCCCTCCATCTCCAAACATGTATTTACCCTATAACAGATTCCCAGTGAATAGAGGTCCACATAATAAGACAATCAGACTTCTTCAAATCAGACACAGGATTACAGACATAAAAGGAGGTAAATAAATGAGAAACTCTGTCTTCACCTTGCCCACACACCCCAAACCTACCACCAAACAGATACTTATGCTGGTGGGCCCAAAACTACCAGATCCATGGAAAAAGTTGGATGATGGTGTCTGACCCAGTGGTTCCTCTTGACCCAGCCTTCCAAAAAGGCGATCCAGGTTGCCCAAAACCCCAGTGCAAAGTGGTATCCATCATATTTATCCCCCTTTTAAAAGGAGACTAAGAACGAGCTTACTTACTAATTAGTCAACAGTTCCTACTTCATACATCTAGTGTTAAAATACAGTTGAACCAAAACCACAGCTAGCAGTAGGGCACTTTCCCAGCTAACCCCAAACTCAGGGGACACCTGCTGCTGGAGAGAAGAGTCGACTACTCCTTCTGTCTGGGGTTACTAGAGTTGCTAGGGAGATAATGGGGTGGTCAAAGTTCCCATGTCAGATGATTGTGGATCTGGCCGACTACCTCATCTCTCTGAATCTTACTCTGCTGCTGAGAAGCACCCTCTCTTTGATACATGCCTGCTGGTGGGGAGGAAGTCAGACTACCTCCTGTTCCGGGAGCTCACACTGCCGCTGTTGAGGGGTGCTGTGTGCACCCTGTTCTGGACACATGCTCTGCTGCTTGGGAGGGTTGTCAACTTACCCATCTCTATGGTATGCCATCTGTTGCTGGGGAGAGAGATCAGCTAACTCCACTACCTTGCTCTCAAACTGCCACTAGGATAAGATACCGCCTGCATTCTGTCCCTGGCTCTGCTGCTGGGGAGATGGTGGGATGGCCATGGTGAGGTGGCTAGGCACAGTGACAAGGTACTCCTCACTCGGTTACAGTGACACCAAGTCCAATGGCACAGTAACAAAGTGCACCTCAATCCGATACAGTGACCCCCTTCCCCTGGCACAGTAAAAAGGTACCCCTCACTCAGTCACAGTGATCCCAAATCCCATGAGCACAGTGATAAGCTACACCTCACTACAATAAAGTGAGCACCCCTCTGGCACAGTGACAAGATACCCTCACTCCATTGCAGTGACCACTCTCTCCTGGTACAGTGACAGGTTACTCCTCGCTCTGTTACAGTGACACCCCCGCCACTGTGACAAGTTAATCCTCACTCGGTTACAGTGACCCTCTCTTCTGGCACAGTGATTCTGAAGCCCCCGCACAGAGACAAGGTAGACCTCACTTGGTTGCAGTAACCCCCAGGGCACACCTCACTCTGTAGCAATGAACCGCAAGCCCCAGGCACAGTGACAAAGTACACAGTTACCCATCACTCCATTACAGTCATTCCCTTTCCCGTGGCGCCGTGTGAAGTTACCCCTTACTCAGTGACCCCATCCTACAGCACAGTGTCAAGTTACCCCTCACTCAGTGACCCCCTCCTCTGGCACAGTGAAAAGTTAGCCATCACTGAGTGACCCCCTCCTCTGGCACAGTGACAAGTTATCCCTCACTCAGTGAGCCCCTCCTCTGGCACAGTATCAAGTTACCCCTTACTGAGTGACCCCCTCCTCTGGCACAGTGTCAAGTTACCCCTCTCAGTGACCCCCTCCTCTGGCACAGTGACAAGTTACCACTCATTTCGTGACCCCTTCCTCTGGCACAGTGTCAAGTAACGCCTCACTTAGTCACCCCCTCCTCTGGCACAGTGACAAGTTACCTGTCACTCAGTGACCCCCTCCTCTGGCACAGTATCAAGTTACCCCTCACTCAGTGACCCCCTCCTCTGGCACAGTATCAAGTTACCCCTCACTCAGTGACCCACTCCTCTGGCACAGTATCAAGTTACCCCTCACTCAGTGACCCCCTCCTCTGGCACAGTATCAAGTTACCCCTCACTCAGTGACCCCCTCCTCTGGCACAGTATCAAGTTACCCCTCACTCAGTGACCCCCTCCTCTGGCACAGTATCAGTTACCCCTCACTCAGTGACCCCCTCCTCTGGCACAGTATCAAGTTACCCCTCACTCAGTGACCCCTCCTCTGGCACAGTATCAAGTTACCCCTCACTCAGTGACCCCTCCTCTGGCACAGTATCAAGTTACCCCTCACTCAGTGACCCCTCCTCTGGCACAGTATCAAGTTACCCCTCACTCAGTGACCCCTCCTCTGGCACAGTATCAAGTTACCCCTCACTCAGTGACCCCCTCCTCTGGCACAGTATCAGTTACCCCTCACTCAGTGACCCCCTCCTCTGGCACAGTATCAAGTTACCCCTCACTCAGTGACCCCCTCCTCTGGCACAGTATCAAGTTACCCCTCACTCAGTGACCCCCTCCTCTGGCACAGTATCAAGTTACCCCTCACTCAGTGACCCCTCCTCTGGCACAGTATCAAGTTACCCCTCACTCAGTGACCCACTCCTCTGGCACAGTATCAAGTTACCCCTCACTCAGTGACCCCCTCCTCTGGCACAGTATCAAGTTACCCCTCACTCAGTGACCCCCTCCTCTGGCACAGTATCATGTTACCCCTCACTCAGTGACCCCCTCCTCTGGCACAGTATCAAGTTACCCCTCACTCAGTGACCCTCTCCTCTGGCACAGTATCAAGTTACCCCTCACTCAGTGACCCCCTCCTCTGGCACAGTATCAAGTTACCCCTCACTCAGTGACCCCCTCCTCTGGCACAGTATCAAGTTACCCCTCACTCAGTGACCCACTCCTCTGGCACAGTATCAAGTTACCCCTCACTCAGTGACCCACTCCTCTGGCACAGTATCAAGTTACCCCTCACTCAGTGACCCCCTCCTCTGGCACAGTATGAAGTTACCCCTCACTCAGTGACCCCCTCCTCTGGCACAGTGCCTCGGTTACAGTGACTCCCAAGCCCCCCGGAACACTTACAATGTATCCCTGCACGTCGGAAGCAAAACACAGCAACAGCCTCTATGAAACCTAAAGCGCTTCCTTTCCCTCCGCATTGGATACATTGTAGCCCCACACTGGATTCTGATTGGCCAACACTGAGCACTCCGACTCCCCACTGGCCGCGTGTGGAGGAAAGAGGACGTTCCCCGCGTTCTGATTGGTCCGTTCCTGTGCGTTCCATCCAGCCCAGCTACTGAGCGAGCGTTCCAGATGCTGGAGTGGAATTTGCCTTATTAGGATAGTGAGTAACGTTACAGCCTCAGGCTACTTCCTGTAGGGTGTGTGTATGTGTGAGGGACTGCATCTACTGAGAGCACCCATCTCCTGCTGTGTAATAACCCAACTGAACTTTATAAACTAAACTTCTCGGCCGTATCCTCCCAGGAACAGGGGGCAGGGGGTAACACGCATGGGTTAACTATTTCAGCTCTTCCAGGGTTTTAAAGGGTTAATGTGGAGTGTCAATCTGTAACAGGCTCGGGCGTGGAATTCTAAAAGCAATACAAAGTGTTCACAGGGGGAGAGAGGGCAGCTGATAAAGTCACTATTATAGTGTTTACTCATATTTCTTTTTTTTTTTATTTAGAAACCAAGATGTCGAAATCATTGAAGAAGATAGTGGAGGAAAGTAGGGAGAAGAATGTGCCCGATGTTGACATGTGTGAGAGAGGCATCTCTAATATGCTGGATGTCCCAGGCTTGTGTAAGTGGAATCTGTCATCAATAATATCATATTAAAAGGATAGTCAGTCATTGAAACTGTTATTGTGTGATGTGGAATAAAGTTAGGATTACTTACAGCAACCAGTACTGTTGATCACCGGTTTATCTAGGGATACCTGTTAATTCTCTGTAGACTGCATGTGAATAGTGCAGTGTAGGAGAAGATTGGCTTCAAATTGATTTAACAGGCTTGTCCCATTTAGTTGAAATTTATTTTTTATTTTTTTTTAAATCCAGCACATAAAAGCATTTTACACTTTACATTGCTATAATTGTTGTTATTTCTATATTAACGTTACACTCTAAGCTTTATGTAGTGGTTTGGGTGTGAAAAGCCTGTTCCTGTAGTCTGACAAATATAAACACAGCTTTATCTGTGCATATGTAGTGTTTCCATTTGTCCCTAAGAAAACTACTTGTGGCTGTCACTCAGAGAGTCTTGCTGTTATTGTTCTGAAATAGTTGCAGGACCAATGTTAGGCTCAACTTGCATGTATTTGCCAAAATCTCCCAATAGAGATGGATTCATATAGTGCATCTCTACGAGGACTTATTAATTGGTGCAATGAGGTGGTTTTGATGCATGTGTAATAGGTCCTCCAATGCTTTTCTATGGAAATAGACTAATCTGCAAGGTTCTGTTCCTCATATCTGCTTTAGTCCATAGTATATACACATATTTACTTCAGAACAGTAGCAGCTTTGATCACAGCATAACGATTACAGACAATTGTAATGGTTATTGAGCAAGCAACTTGTGGGCACCGCCACCCACCCCTCCACTTTGTGTCAAACTACTTTACAAGTTTGCCAATAATTGTGGCTGTCCCAACATTTTATTTCTAAGTGGCTAATAAGTCTCTATACTGATTCATGTATTCATAATTGCTGTTTTTTTATCATGATTTGACCACTTATAAATACTGTACTTTCTAATTGCATGATGCCTTTAACCTGTTCTTCATAAAGGGTTATTTTAGGCACCATGACCACCAAGGGAAACTATAGTGCCAGGAAAACAAATTTTTGTTTGTTTGTTTGTTTGTTTTTTCCTGGTACTATAGTGCCCCCAACTCACCTTCTGTCACTTACTTGGTTCAGGCTCTGGCCAGCCGGGGACACCATGCACTCACATTAGGACTCCTCCATAGGAAAGCATTCTATAATGCTTTCCTATGGGGATTGGGTGATGCTGAATGCCCTCATGCATAGCGCGAGGATGTCCAGCATCAGTTAGGCGACCAATAGTTACCTAACAACCTGGAAGTTCCTCTAGTGGCTGTCTGATAGACAGCCACTAGAGGAGGAGTTAACCCTCAATAATGCAATAATTACCTTTGCAGGGTTAAAGGGACACTCCAGGCACCCAGACCACTTCTGCCCATTCGAGTGGTCTGGGTGCCAACTCCCACTACCCTTAACCCTGCAAGTGTAATTATTGCAGTTTTTATAAACTGCAATATTTACCTTGCATGGTTAAGTCCTCCTCTAGTAACTGTCTGTGTGTTATAATGACGCTGGACGTCCTCACGCTATGTGAGGACCTCCAGCGTCGCCAAAATCCCCATAGGAAACCATTGAAAGCATTATTCAATGCTTTCCTATGGGGAGGACTAATGTGCATGTGTAGCATTGCCGTTCATGTGCATTAGGTCTAGCAAGCTATTAACAGAGCAGGAGATAATACATTTTAAATTAAACAGAATTTGCAATAAAGGAAGTGTAAACATTAGATGACTCTTTACAGGAAGTGTTTAGGGCTGTATAAGCAAAGTAATTTAACTCCTAAATGGCAGAGAATTGAGCAGTGATACTTCAAGGGCATGATCTATACTCCAAAACTGCTTCATTACACTAAAGTTGTTTTGGTGACTATTGTGTCCCTTTAACCTCTCTGCTGCCAGGGGTGTAACTGCCCCTCTGGTAGTGTCATTGTGAGACATTAACCAGACAGCCAATGGCGCATACTCCACTGTCCTCCCCTCAGTCTGCCTTGCGGCAAGGTGGAGTGACATCAGCCAAGGAGGATCAGACTGAGGGGTGATGAAACAGAGGTACGTTTTAAGCTTTTCTTTTAGCATTTAGGGCCACTTAATGGAAGTACACATGCAGATTAACAGACCCACACTGACACACATGCAGATTAACGGACCCACACTGACACACATGCAGATTAGCGGACACACACTGGCACACATGCAGATTAACGGGGACACACTGACACACATGCAGATTAACGGACACACACTGACACACATGCAGATTAACGGACACACACTGACACACATGCAGATTAACAGACACACAGATAAAAACACTGACACACATCTAAATACACAGACACACACACTTGCAGACAGATACACAGATGCACACACTGACACACAGGAGAAGCAGGGAGAGCCTGGGGTAGAGGAGAAGCAGGGGAGCCTAGGAAAGTTGGAGAAAAAAGGGAGATGGGGCATAGACAAACTAATTACAAACATTTTGCTAATATTAAGGGTACAGTTTATAAAAATAGGTTTGCCAATGTGAACAAAAGTGAAAAAAAAGGTTAGAAACCACTGACATAAAGGGTTACTCTAACCAAAACCAATGTTTTTGTAAAACATTTGCTTTTGGTTGGAGTAACTCTTTAATTTATGGCATAGACATCTTTTTGATTTCTATTTCTACATGTAAAGTCACATCATACTTAAAGATAATCCTGATACAGTTAATTATCAAGCCATTTATAAACATGTCGCATTTTTTTTGTCATGATTTGAGTGATCACTATTGGATCTGTCCGTAAACTCTCCTGTTGTTGGTCATGTTTTATTCTTCAGTTACTTTGGTTCTATTTGCTACTGAATCCCTTGATGTCTGCAAGTTCACTATTGATGGCAAATCCCACCTGGAGTTCAGCTGCTAGGGACAGCTGTCATGGGACTTCCCATAGCAATCGGCAGT